GCTCATCACCTCCACCCCTGGCATCTCCAAAAGGCTTAAACATGGGTGCAATACCACCACTCTAAAAAATGCACATCAAAAACCTCTTTGCACTCTGAAGTGCCCCTCACAGGGCCTGCAGGCTCCTGCACTGAGCTCTTGTGTTCCCTGTACAGTCTTCCTTTCTGTGGGATGCCTGACCAGGGCAGCTGAGCCAGCAACTAGGATCACCTAAATATTCATGGGGACACACACTGTCCCCCAAGAGACCAGGCATATCCAAATTTGAGCTTTTTCTTGGTAACTACTTAACAGTGGTAAAAAGTATCCACTGGTTTCTCAGAACCAGCTGAAGCTGAGCATGTCTGAAATCCAACAGAGGACAACACTTAAGCTTAGACTCAAACCCAAGCACCCTATTTGGAAAATACCACTGTGATATGAAAGAGAGCACAGCTAATTGTGGTGAGCTGAGGGTTCACAGTGCGCATCCTGGGAAGGCAGGATAGAAAATAACCGGGGAACACAATTAGAGAGAATTGAGTCCCTCTCTGACTTGTGCCCAGTGTCCAACTGCCTGAGGTACCAGTAATGAGCAGATGCTAAACTGTAATAAATCAAGAAAGCTGGTGCTAATTAACTCAGGTTCCACACAGGACTTCTCTTACAATTTTTTTTAAAGTGGATTTTGATCCACTGAAGAGACAGCATTTTTAAAAACAAGCTCATCAAATAACCAACACCCCTCTCCCCTGATGGCGTAGAAGACTGTCTCTTGCTTGCGGGGCATGCCTGCCTGTAACCTGCATGGTACAAGTGCAGCCCTTGACAGCAGCCTGAGACCAGCTGTCTGACAGGAGCCTGGACTTGGCAGGCAGCACTAGCCGCAAGCAGGGAAACTGAATACCAAGTGGTGTCAGAGTGTTTACCAGAACCCTCCACTCCTTTTAACACTTAAACTTTCCTTATTTCAAGAAAAGAAAAAAAGGTGTGAAATAAAACTAAGAGTAAGCTACATCAGGGGGAAAGTGAGAGGTTAGACAAGGAGTCTACCATTTCTCCCCAGCACAGTTCAGCATTGTAGAGAGAGGAACTGAATGTAGAACCAAGCTTTCCTCTGCTCAGAGTACTTAGTAGAAACCCGTTTCAAGAAAAGCCGGGGCTGGAAAGACACAGATATGGACTTCTTCCTTTTTCTTGTAAGCCTATAAAAATCTAAAAGGTGAAAAACAAATTTCAAGTAGATATTAAAACTGAACTCAAAGTAAAAGTTGGAGGGGATGGAAAACTGCCCTCTTTGGATGGGTTCTAGGTAGTTGACACATACATCTAGCTGCATTTATAGGTGTCATGCCTCACGGGTGCTAAGTTCATAACATTGTGTTTTGTCATAAGAGATGAGAAAAAGGAGGGAAAAGTAAGCCTGGTAACTTGCCTGAGTTCATTGGGTGGGGCTGGGCAGAACTTGGACTAAGCCAATGTGACTTCAAAGCTACCCAGCCTTGCACTTCAGCCTCCCAATAGGCTGAAAAGGAGTCTTTCCTCTCCAAATCCCTGAATTATGGTCCTATTTTTCTAAAGGGTGTCATGCTTTGAGAGAATTATCTAGAAAAGAAGTGAAAATGAAACAAAGTCCCTTAATCGTGAAACACCACAGAGTCATCCTCTCCTATCCCACCTGTAGCTTTGTGGTGTCACACAACTTCTGTCCACAGATGGGGCCTGTTATTCGTCCACCTGTTAGTTGGCTGGTAGTCCCCCTCTTCTCAAGACTTCAAGAGCCTCAGGGAAAAACAAAAAAAGATGCAGATGTTCCCCATAAGCCAGGCACTGTCCTGGAATTTTCAAATTCACCCCTTCAGTGATCAGAGCCACACCTCCTGCTGCATGCTATCATTCCCAGGCTTCTTGTGAAAAATCAAAAGGATTAGATTCCTCTCCAAGCGAGGCATCCCCTCAGCAATACACCTGGACATTCAGAACCTTGGCGTTCAATCCCAGCCTCTAGAGAATTTCCCACAAACACATTTTGATGACTCAAGGCTTGCGGACCTAATAAACCATGCAGGTAGTCAGGGAGCATGAGGTTAAAGGGCAAAACCCATGCACCAATTTGAAAAAAAAAAAAAATGATGACAATGAATTGAAGGACCACAGGAGTGTCAAGATGCGCCGCATCAAAGATAGCAATGGAGCAAAAATGTGGACTGTGAGCAGCTGATGAGTGTTGCCTGGTTCTAGTTCCTTCCATGTCACCGTATTCCTGCCTCTTCTGCATTCCTACAGCCTGTTGTTTTGTAGGTTCTTTGGGTGAACGTGGCTATCCTCCTGGCATTCAGATATACAACTCTTTGGCTTCAAATGTTTTTCCCCACACCCTCCTTCCTTCCCTATCTTCCTTCTCTTTTCCCTCTTTCCTTCGCTCTTTCTCTCCCTTTCTTCCATCCTTTGGTTCCCTTCTTTACCCTCATTTGGTCTATCAAATTCCCACTCATCGTAGAGATCTCAGCTTTTATCTTCACCTCCCCAAAGGAAGTCTTTTCTAAAGCTAGAGTGTGGGATAACTAGCCTGTTACACACATGTGAGAACCTATCTCAGAAGATCTACCATATTTAGAATCTCTCATTTAATACCTCTCTGACCTACTGTCCCCATAAAGCAGCAATATTTTTTTCTCTTTTTTGCCTTTGTGTCTCTCTATCTATCCCAGTTTCTGCCAAGTAGTAGGTAAAGGGGGCCAATCACTGATGAACAAATGAATGTCAAAGCAGCTCACCCTTAATGTGTTGATTGAAATCAAGCAGTTCAATGTTTGTAAAATTTGTTCATTTTTGCCCCCTCTGAAAAGTAAACTACCAGAGAAAAATAATAGGTATGCCTTTAATAAAATTGTATTTCAGCATCTACTAACATGCTTGGTAGATAATAATTATTCTCTCTCTTTTTGAGACAGGGTTTCATGTTGCCCAGGTTGGCTCAAATTCACATTGTAAAAAGTATCTTGACCTTCTCATCCTACTTTCTATCTCCTCCCCCATAGTGCTAAGAATACAGTCCTGCTAATAAATATTTTATTGATAATGTATAAACTGTTTTTCAATTAAAAAGCAATAAACGTCACATATAACCATGTTTTTGCTCTTTCAAATGATCTTTAATTCTTCCTTGATAAGAATGGGAATTTTATATTGAGCTTAGCTTCTCAATGTCCTGAGAACTAAATGTGAACATGGGCTTTTCCATTATAGCATCTGCTTTTTGAGAAAATTTCTTCATACTCATTCTAGATGAAATAGATCCGGAGTCTTGCCTTAGCCAATGAGAGTTGGACAAGCAGAATGAGAACAGAAACTTAAAGAAGTCATGTGTTGTGGCTTCCTCTCTCTTGTACCCAATGAGCTTCAAGCTTTGTAAAACTGAGCTTTGGACAGCCTGCAGAGTGATGAGGGGCAGTGTGGAGAACTGGGTTTCTGGGCTGATTTCTTGTCCTTTAGGAGATGCATGGATGTGGCCAATTTTTATCATCCAGATACTTAACAACTGTCAGTTCAGAGCAGAGGTGTGGGTCCTTTTATGGTTGAAGAATGTCTTTTCAAACTTCATGTGTAGTAGTCCTAACCCCTCATATATTAAAATATGCCCTATATGGAGACAGAAAGATTTTAAAAAGACATAAGATTAAAATGAGGTCATAATATAAACCCTAACCCAGATAGTCTAGATCCTTTAAAAAGGAGGAACTTAAACAGATGCAGAAAGGGTGCTGTGTGAAAAAGAAATACAGCCATCTTTAAGCTTAGAAGATGCCAAATACACATCTCTCCATCAACAGACTCAGGAAGAAACCAAGATAGCTGACACCTTGATCCTGAATTTCCAGCCTCTGGAAGACTGGGAGACAATGCATCTCTTCTGTTTAAGTCACTATTCTCTGTGGGACTCAGGTGTGCAAACCCTAGCAGAATTATACAGGTCTGGACCAAAACAACCAATTGACTGACCTAACCCTGCGTATCAGTAAACCCATGACACAGACTTTATTTTAAGCCCCTGATGCAATAAAGGCTCATTGATAAAGCAAGTAAATTGATAAGCTTCCGTTTTTGCAATTGCAAAATGAAATTAAAAAAAAAAAAATCTCTTCATGTGGCTATTGTCAAATTAAGTAGGCTGACACCTAAAGCTGCTTAGTGAAAAACTTGGCTCATAATTAACACCCCATGAGTGCTTATTTTAGAATTTTCTTCATTAAATCAAAAACAGATGCATCCCCCTCCCCGCAAAAAAAAAAAAAAAAACTTCTTTGAATTTATTTGAAATAATATAGGAATTTGTTGTAAAATTCAACATCAATAAAATCCATTTAAATAACACTAAATCATCAAAGACCACTGTAATGGGTACTCAAAAAGGGCAGCTTAAATGGACTAAGGTTAAGGAAGAAACAAATTGACATATCTAGAGTCTCTAATAATGTGCTACAAATATCCTGCATGACTTTGATTACAGATATGAGAATTACCTATGAAATAAATGGCAAGGGGCCAAAGATCACACAGGCAATAACAATCACAGCAAGAATAAGAGCCAACCATATCTCCTCTGAGTCTCAGTGCTCTCTGAATAATCTTTGAGGGAATCTATGAGACTGAGGGGCTTAGGAGGTCATTGCAATATCCAGTCACAAGACAACCCCTGCCTACTAGGAAAATCTCACTTTGAGCTCCTCAGCAGCCTGCTGTCACATGTTCCGATTCTTGTGAAGGGCTGCACAAGAATGTGCATGACTTAAGGTCAGCTCTGACAGCCTCCACAGATTCAGGGCTAGTACCACAAACTCACAAAGAGGAAGTCTGGCCTGCTACCAGGCCGGACTGCCCAGCTCTGTGGCTGCATACTCAGGAAACCAAAACTAAAAAGCGCATAGAAGGAGGTCTCTGCTGAAGGACTCTGCTGGAAGGATAATATATTTCAATCCCAATCCTGCGTATTACCCGGTCCTTGAGTTCTCCAGGATGCGATGGCGGACACCCTTTGCAGAGCCCAGACGTCTCAACACAGAGCCCTTGACCGAATGCAGGCTGACCAGGTAAACTAAACAGAATAGCTCTGTTTTAGAATGTTTCTCATGGTCCTCACTGTCACAGTGATCATTAGAAAGAGCTTCACAAAGGTAAAGTTTTCTTGACATGAAGGCCTGGACATTCCACATCCCATCAAATGAGCAAAAAGGAAGCCAGCTCCTTCAGCCAAGGTTTGAAGAGCCCTTCATGGTACTGGGAAAGATTCAAGATGTTTGCCCATAAATTAATGTAATACTAAGGCTTTTCAGCCTATTCTTCCTGGAACTTAGAGGCACCTCCCCTCAGCCTACACTGCTAAAGTCAAAAGACAGAGTCTGTCACAGCTTGTTAAAACTCCATTAGAGCAGCCTTTCTCGAAAGGTAGGAAGCCATTCACTGGAGAAGTTTATTCCATCAGCTGTTAGATAGGTGGGGAGATAGATAGATAGATAGATAGATAGATAGATAGATAGATAGATAGATGGATGGATGGATGGATGGATGGATGGATGGATGGATGGATGGATGGATAGATAGATAGATAGATAGATAGATAGATAGATAGATAGATAGGTGTATCTTCTAAGCTAATATGGATGGTTTTCGGATAGATAGATAGATAGATAGATAGATAGATAGATAGATAGATAGATAGATA